ACTTATGCTGCAGAGACTTCTAACACCTCAAAAATTGCTATTACCTTTGATGAATTTACAACAACACAGGAACAGAAGGATGTCACTGAGAGATGAAGAGTTGACCAGGTCCAAGTGAATAGCCAAGAGTTCCTAGGCCAGCCCTTCTGGAACTCAGTTTTGCCATCTATATTGACAGTATTAATGACTGTAACTATTTTACTGTGACTTTTTCAGTAGCAATATACTCTCAACATTTACATCCAAAGATTTAAGTTTCTCAAAAGGGACTGGCTAGAAACTATAGAAGTCAGACCCAAGCTGCAACAGGAAGACAGTTCTGTGGAATCAAAGCCAAGAAACACTTGCCAGCACTTCTATCAAAGACTGTACTGAAAGAGAAAATGAAGCTGGAAGGCCTTACACTACAAAAACAACTCCATGTATAGCACAGATGGAGTCTTTTAAACCTTAGCCAATGCAGAGTTGACAATGCATCTATGATAACCCATGACTAATGGTATGAAGGTGAAGAGGAGAAAGCATCCCAGAAGTGCTATGAAAAGGGAAAGCTCACATCCCGGAGACAAAAGGAATGTTTTACTGAGAGTCCAACATTAGAGTGGACCCTGAAGCACAGGCAGAGCTTTGGCCAGCTGTCAAACAGAACACTGAGGCCATCAGGGTCCCTGTTTGGGGTACAGGACTCACCATAGTCGAGATGCCTACAATGTGGGATCCGATCTTGACAGCCTAGATTTCTAAGAATATGGGCACAGGCTGAAGAGGCATCCTTACAAACAGTGAAACTTGATCTAAATATATAGTTTTGATACTTTGCATAAATTTAAAAAATCTTCTGACATTTAAGAAAGATGCCAGTTCTATTAATATTACTCTAACACCATTAAACTCAAATTCCATTATGACAAGTCAAAAGGACAGCCAGAAAGCAAATTAAACTACTGATTTTAATTTCTGTAAATCTACTGTTATTAACCTCATGTAGTTTATCAAAGAGAACCTTACAACTAATGGTTCTTTTTAAAATGTAGGACCATGCTTTCTATTTCTCAACCATGTAACAAACTGGTTTCTCAACCATATAAAGTTTATAAGTTGGTTTCTATTTTTTAAAAGTAGCATCAGAAAAATTACATCACTGAGCTGACCCAAGTACTTCCTCATTCATGGGAAGGGCTCTTCTTGCTACCAGAAACAATGAACCAGCACACTGCATGCCACATGTCTAAAAATAAGATCAGGTTAGGAAAGTATTATCAACCTATTTCAAATATCTTTCAAATATCTCTGAAATTAAAACTTGAATTAAAAAATTTTGATACATTGTGAGTTGAATCCAGCACTGTTCAAGTATTCTTTTCCTGAGCTACAATCCTGTTTTGTTATTTTTATCAGGAGGCAGGGTCTTGCTAAGTTGCCCAGGCTGGACTACAACTTGGGATTTCACCTCCCAGAGCTTTGCATATAGTTGGTGTTACAATCGTGTATCACTGAATTTGGAGTCATCTACAAACCATATACAGCACTGTATAGGGAGTCACTTAGAAGTCATAATGTTCTAACAAAAAGGAAGGGCGAATGTAAAGTGCTGACATATACTTCTTCAGAATAGGGGGAAAAATTAAAAGAGAATTATTTTAGCTCAAGGAAAAGCACTGTCCCAGCTTTTAAACTGCCTACTATGAGTTCAGAAACAATGCACTCTTTTTTTATGATTAAATTCTTTAATATTTTTTCTTACTTTACATATTGATCCCAGTTCCCTCTCCTTCCCAACCTCCCATGCCCCCCGACCTTCCTCTCATCCCATTCCCTACCCTCTCCACAGGGAGGGTGAGGCCTTCCAGGAGAAGCCATCAAAATCTGCTAAGTCTTTGGCATAGGGCCTAGGACCTCCCTCCTGCCTCTAGGTTAAGGGAGCATCCCTCCATGGGGAATGTGCTCCCAAAGTCATACACCAGGGGTACATCCTGGTTCCACTATCTGAGGTCCTATAGACTGTCTAGGACCTCCAACTGAGACCCACTTTCAGGGGGTCTGGATCGGTCCAATGCTGCTTTCCCAGCTATCAGTCTGAGGTCCATGAACCTCCCCCCCCCCCAGCCTCCATTCAGGTCAGCTGTGTCTGTGTCTGTGGGTCTCTGCAGCCTGGTTTTGACCCTCTCTGCAACTACAGGAGTTCAGCTCAGTGTTTAGCCATAGGTTTCTGCTTCTGTCTCCATCAACTACTAGATGAGGGCTCTAGGATGTCATATTAATTAGTTATGCTTCTTAAGAATGCAGGATCTTTGTCTATAGTACATCTGTTTTGACACAAATGTAGGAAACATGATGTTGAATGGGTTACAGAAAGTTATGCAGCATCTACTCTTTATATACAAAGAAATATGTTTCAATTAATAAACTTCAATTAATAATCATGATGTTAAATGGGTTACAAAGTTAAGCAGTATCAAGTCATCAATGGAATAGTCTTTCAAGCAATGTATGGCAGAGACTGTTTAACAATGAGCTCTCTGTGTAAAAGAGAACTATCTGGATTTATATTAGCTCCTCTTCATACATCATGTGCTCCCAGCGTGTCTCATTTCACATTAAATACAAAATACCGAACAGTTTACAAATTTCCAGAAATTTGACAGCTGCTTTGTGAATGAATGAGGGCACACAGCAGGACCAGAATAGATGCCCATATCAAAGAGAGCCTTGAATGGTGTTGGAGAAGGCAAATTGGAACAACTAATGTATCTAGGAACAATGCATTCTAAATATTGACATGCTGTACTTTAACATATACAGGTATTCCTTGCTTAGGGATTTTCAAGATGGAAACAGAACAAAATAAAATACCAGCATGAAAATTTGGAGGTAAGCATTGGCAATTTTACATACTGAGTTTGGGAAACTACTGCGCATCTACAATTCCAGAGCCCCTTCTCTAACAAAAGGGTCCATTACATGAGCTCTAAAATGTCACATCAGGAACCAAGTTTGAAACATCATCAACCTGTAGATCCTATTACATGCTTGGTGGATAAGGATGGAGCATGGTAAAGTGAATAGGAGTAAAGCTAATGATCTCCATCTGTCTAGCTGAGGTGACTTAGTGAATGTTTTCTTCACTGATGAAAAGTTTAGTATTTGCAATATGTCTGGAGGAAATATGCATGCAATGTGCCCAGGACACAGAAGGAACTAAATAAAACAGAATAATCCTTAGTCGTTAATACAAGTTCTAATGGGAAAGGCTACTTTATTTTCTGTTGAACTTTCTTAGCACGTGTTTGGGCAGAGCAGGACTGCCTGCCAGTGCTTTCCAATGGAAAGCAGGCAAAGACTGTATTGAAAATGATTGATGATGTGGAGTAAAGAGATAAAAGCTAGTGCTGAAGATAAGCAGGGTGTTTGAGTCTTGCACACAGCAGCAAAGAAAAGAAAAAAATAACTCTGTGGGACACAGTGCTAGGGAAAAGAGGGCCATTTTTTCATTAAGAGGACCCTCAAAGGGGAAAATATAAAATGAATTGACAATGATTTCGTAATCAAAACAAACAGAAAATTGCTGAGAGCTTGAGCACCTCTAAAGTATGCCCTTCCACACAGGCCTCCGACTCCTATTCCTTGTACAGCATCATCTCCAACCAAGGTCCACTTGCCCACCCTTTCCTGTTAGAGCCATCCTGGACTCCCCTCCCACTAACCTTCATCTTCCTTTCCGGACTTCGCCTTGATACTGGAAACTTCCTGATCTTTCTATGACTCACTCTAAACATTCAGGACTCATCCAGAACATCACCTCTACAGGGACCTTTTCCTGGATCCCACATACCATCGTCACACCAATGTGTCTTCCTGCTCTATTTTCTAGCATTCATTCCCATCTAAAACCATGTTTTCATCAGCACATATATTTCATCTTCACTAGAATCTAAGGGGTTTGAGTGTGTTCAATACTCAATTTCCAACATCTAAAACTGCATGTGGCATAGACAGGCATTTATCCTATAAATTATCTACTGGTTAAATCCAAATAATAGTAACTATCCTGAGAAGATAAGTCCTCAGAGCAGTTTTAATTACCCTTCTTTAATGCATCCGATGATGTAACCATTAAAGGTCAGGAATATTTCAAAGAAAAATGCATTCTTCCTAACAATATAAAATAGTACACATGTATGGACATAATGTAGTGGTTGTAGAGGGAGGCACATTCTACACTATCCCTTCATGGGCAAGTTTATCCAGCATTTTACTTATCCATAAATACAGCCATAATACTATAAAAATTTTCTTTTTCATCAAATCCTGCTCTAGAAGAAGATGGGCAGATGAAGTGATTATGGGAATTCCCTTTAGTACCCTTAAACAAAGACATCAGATGGGGCATGCTGGAGTAACTCTAGTGCACTTAGAAGTTAGACCTGTCACTGTGTTCACCTTTACTAACCTTACCCTAACTAGTACTGGGTCAAGGGATGGATTCGGTGATTCCATCTGTGAATGAAGACAAATGCCTTTGCAACTGCCTTATTAAAAGAACAATAAGAAAAGTTCCACAATGTTCACCCATGTTCCAACCAAAAGAAAAAGAGACCAAATTATAATGAGATTTTGAAAAATAATAATAAAAGGCAGGATAAGTGGGCAAAGCTGAGAGCTAAAAACCATGGCTAGAACATTTGTGACTCATGCTTTAGTTTTCGTTTTGTTTTCTTATATCTGGGCTTTCTTGATTTAGGTGCAAGGCTGGTAACTGACAGTAACCTGCCAGCCCACACCTGCATGCCATCTGGGTCTTGACAAGGGTGCTAGACAAGGGGCCAAGGCTGGACCATTCGCCTCCTGTGAGTGTGGGAGAGTGCCGGGGCCCAGCATCCCTCCCGCCGCACTCCGCCGCATTAGCACCCACAGGCCGCACGTCCCTGGCCAGGTGTAGGGAGTTCGGCGAGCCCCTAACCTTTGCAACCTGCCCAGCAGAGCTCGGGAAAGCAGCCTACCTCCTCTGTGGCACGAGCCGCCCGCTGGCCTGCAGACCCGGCTCCGCGGTCCAGGCCGGCCGGGCTGGGGCGGGGCTGCAGGGCGGGACCCTCGGGTGACGTCAACACGCTGATCACGCAAGACGCTGTCGCTCGCCGGAACAGAAAAGAGGTCCAGGAGACGACAGATTGGTTTGTGAAATTGTCAGTCTCGTGACGACCAGTAAACGGCTCCGGAAGGAGCCAGTGGGCAGGTGTGTAACAAGGCCAGCCTCCAGAGCTCGCCAGCGTATCCAGCCTACAATTGCAAGGTTGTATTTGTTTTCAGCTTCCTGTCGGATTTTAGTGGAAAACTTGCTTTAGTCGCTTTATAGGGTATTATAGGCTGCAGCCGGTGAAAAGTAATCCTGAGGGTGGATTTCAGGCTCTGCCACCTTGGTTTGAGCTGTCCACTAAGAACTTTCTTAGGACGACATTAAATCTCAACTTGACCAGACTTACATAGGAAACCTTTTTTTTTCTGCTCTCCCACTGCGTAATGCCTTTTCTTACTGATATTAAGGCTACTTGTATTTGCATAATTGTTGTACACGAAATTGAGCACTAAGTGATGCTTATGATTTTCCCAGATGTTACGGTTGCATCCTTCAAAAAATGTAAATATCAGTTCTGAAGATTCTCAGCCTGTTGGAGGAAAAGAGTATTGATAATTACTCTTATAAAGTAATTTTAATTGCTTCTATAATGCTTAAATTAAAAAGTGAATTTATATACGTGCAAAACTTTTGAACATTGCAAGCTGTGTAAAACCTACATTTATATGCCAATTAAAAGTTCAATCTTTATGTGATGAGTCCTAGTTCCTGTACATTGACGTATGAAAATATTTGTAAACACTCAAGTTCTGATCTTCACCGATCTTTATATGTGCCTCACGGTTTTTTAAATGCTGTACAATAGTCCTTAGAACTAAAAGGCATAACCTCAGACATACAGTTTGTTTCTTTTATTGGTAATAGGAGAAATGTGACCTAAACATTTTCCTAGTTCTGTCAAAGTACCGGTTATGGTGGAGATAACCAGAAAGAGAACGCACTGATCTCAGGATGTACACATCTTCAGTCCTGACCGTAGATGCCTTTGATAAGATCTCTTTGTGCTGCTGTAGTGTTCATTTCCACGCAGAGCATTTAAATAAGCATTCCTAGCATCCCTTTGAAGAGAAATTAGCATGCAAGTTTTATTTTATTAATCTAATTTCATTGATAGGAATGAAAAAATGAAAGGACAAAGTGTGTTTATAGATACAAACTAAGAGCAGGGATTTTGTGTGAAATGATTTGGGTGACAAGGTGAAGCAACCAGTGTAACCGCTGTCTTGCAGAAGCCGTCTTCTTAGTGATCAAAACAGTACACATTGTTCTGAGAGTACCGCCACTGTCATTTGTTTTCCCTGATTTGAGACTATCCAGATATAGGACATAATCTGAGTGCCTCTTCTACCTCAATATCCATGATGACTTATATTGATTATCAACTTAATGGGATCTAGAATCACCCAGCAGACAGACTTCTGGGCATGTCTGTGAAAGTTTCCAGGTTGCATTAATTGAGATGGGAAATCCACTCTGAATGTAGGGAGCAACATTCATGTCCTGGGGTGCCAGAACAAATAAGATGGAGAAATGAGCTGAGTAATCACGTTCATCTTGATGTGTTTCCAGACTGGATGCCTCTGACCAAAGGCCTCAACTGCTGCTATCATGCCGTCTTTGCCATGTTGGAATGTACCATATATGTGAGCCAAAATGAATATTTCTGTCCTTAACTTGTGTTTTTTTTATTGTCTTATATTTTATCCAAGCAATAAGGAAAGTAATATTTGTAATATTGTAACATCATATTTATAATAATGTTTAATTATGTTATCTGCCTTTTTCTTAAGGATTCCTTACATTCTTGATGAGTCCTTCATCTCAAACATTGTGTTGAAATGAAGACTATGAATTGTGAGGGCTAAAGTTATGCTTTAATTTTTAATTACTGTGCTTAAGAGATCCATAAAACAAAATATCTCTAACCTGTAAGCTCCATTTATCAAAGGACAGATAATTTCTTGGAATGCTGGGGGCTACTTTTCATGTAAGATAATGTGATCATATAGGCCCACATGTTTTTAGTTCTGTAAACAAGGTTGATTTGCCCCAATTACACAGAATGTGGTTGATCACATGTAGTCAGGAGGTACATAGGCAGGAAGTACATTAGGATGTATGCTTGCCACTGATTGCATGAAGGCAGGAAGTGTGTAGCCTTATGGATTTTGCCTTAATAAGCATCAGACTAATGTAATTCTCTGCCATTCTCTAGGAATCCTGGGTATGGATCTGACCAGTGTCCTGACTGGTATTTAATAAAGCTTGCTTCAAATTTTGCCCAAAAAATGTAGTGATGATCTTACTTTTGCCCAGTGAGATTAACAAAATAAAGCTGTGTGAGAAGTCTTGTCAAGTAGACGAGTCTTAACAACCTTTGTTCTTCCATAACATGGATTTGTTCTTATAATGTGCTTTTGTGCCCCTCCCAGGTAAATAGGGGTCAGCTTGCTTTAGTTTACCATTATTGTTCACGATGATGTTTCCAAGCACAGGTTGTCGTCCTGAATGTATACTCATGCAACCTTGCCCTTGTGACTGTATACAACTTGAATTCAAGTGAACTTTGCTTACATGACCTTGCTTAACCCTCAAAATACCCTCAGAATATAAATTGTCTGATGCCCTGAATAAAGTGGCTATTGGACAAGACTTTAGTCCTTCTCGTTTTTAGGCTTCACTCTCCCAGGTTCATTCCTCCAAGTAGAGTGGTGAAAATATTTTGAATACACTTTTTTTTTATCCTTTGGCTTAACTTTTCATCACAAAATTAATCTTTGACTTCTTAGAATTTACTATAAATATTCTTCCTAGTTCTGGGAAAATGAAGCTTTCAATATTTTAATGTCTTTAATATTATGTAAGTATGCTGTGCATTTAATTTTTTTTAAATTAAGCAGAGTGCAACAGTGTTTATATCTATCCATATATTTATAATTATTTTACTTTTTGTTGCAGAATTCAACTCTGGGAATATCAGCAGTGATTTCATTCTTTATTAAATTGATTAAATGATTCATGGAACCACATGGATTAAACTAATTATGTGAGGGCTTGCAGTGGGTCATTCGATGAAGGAAGGAAGAAAGAAATGTTTGTGCTGACATTTTCAATGAGTTTCTTTTTCCATTAATTTGCAATTAAAATAGTTTTAGGCATTTGTCTAGAATAACAGTTCCTTTAATCATGTAGTAATAGACAAAGTACAAAGGTATATTACAACTTAGTTTCCAAAAAATGATGTCGCAATATGAATAATGTCTAAACACCAGTTTTTGAAAGAACAAGACCATTTTATGGAGAATCCATAAAATTCAGATGACTGAATCTAAATCAAATTGAGACATTTGGGTGTACTCTGGATGGACTTTAAATGCTAACTTACTCTTTATAGGGAATGGAATGAAAATTCCTATAGCACTCATTGAAAAGTCTTATTCATATGTAACAAATTATCTCTAAGAAGTTGAAAAGACAAAGAAAAAATATGATTTATGAGCCCATAGCTAATGTTAGAACTTGGTAGAACTTTGCCAACCCAAATAATCAGTGAATTTGGTCATGTTCATCCTGTTCTCTCCAAACATGAGGGATCCAGTTGCATTTTGGTGAAACTATTTAGCTCAATGTGGTCTCTCATGTAACTCAGGACCACAACTCCAATGAGAATTCTCTCCTGCTCCATTGAGTGAGTCAAAACGGCCAGGAAGAAGGCACCCTCCTGCCACTATGAGTCACCATGCATGAGACTGAGCTGGTGACCTGGGTAGGGAGCCACTGCATCTCCCTTACATGTGGACCCACTGCTAGCCAAGGTTGGTTAGACCACCAATTCCACATGTCAAATTAGGCCTTTGCCTTGCAAAGTACCAAGGAGTCACACAGAGGTCACAAGTCTATTCTTCCCAGCTATACTTACACAGTTTTCACACACTGTTTATATTGGCAAGAACAATCTCCTGAAAGTTCTGGGGGTAGTGTGTGAGGAAGGGGCAAAATAATGGTGGAATATCAACGAAAGCAATGCTTACTGTTATGAATTGTTTTCAAAGAAAGTTATCTTCATTGCATTTTTTTATTGAGAAGTTTTAGTTTGACTTTAAGCATCTGTAGTTTGTTGTTCTTGCTGTGATAACACAATTCAAATAGATTGTTAGTAATTACTAGTTTTTTTACAGCCCTGTGGTGGTGCAAACTTTTCTCCATAAGTTATGTTCTTCATAATATTCCTTGGAAAGCAGATAAATCATACATTATACACATAGGTAACAATAAACACCCAGCACTTGTTCTTGGTAAATCCGTTTTTCACAAACAGGAGCTACAGAGTTACTGGGTGTTTGGTGGTGGTAGTGATTGTTGTTGTTGTTGTTGTCCTCCTCCTCCTGCTTCTCCTTCTCTTCTTCTCCTTTTTCTTCTTTTCTTCTTCCTCCTCCCCTTCTTCTACTTCTTCTGTTTGGGCTTTTGTTGTTATTGTTTGTAGATGGAAATTTGTTCTGTCTGGGCCCAGAGCTCTTTAGTCCCAAATAAACACACAGAGGCTTATATTAATTATAATCCATTTGGCTGATGGCTTAGGCTTCTTGTTATATAACTCTCTTAATTATTAACCCATAACTATTAATCTGTGTATTTCCACATGGCCTTTTCTTACTGGAGAATGCCCAAGCATCCTGTAATGCTCCGGCATATTACTCCTTTTGACAGCTACATGGCATCTCTCCCTCCATTCTTCCCATTTCTTAGTCTGGTAGCCCCACATATATTTCTGGCCTGGCTATTGGCCAATCAGCATTTATTCACAACATATATTCACAGCATACAGAAGGACATGCCCCATCAATTGTTGTTCGTCTGTTTAAAAGTTTAGGGCAGAGTCAGGTTTCAGCAGCAGCTGCAACAGCTCCTCATTTCTTCTGTAGCTCTCCCCATCTCCGTCTTGCTTCCTGAAACAAGCCTATGCTGTGGCTGTCTGTGATGGTGTCATCCGGGTTT